TAATGCCTCTCTTGTTCTTGTTGGTTTTTTGTTTGTATTTTCCCTTCCCAGTTGTCTGGTGCTGATCTGGAGTCCATAGTGACTCCCCTTTAATCTTGTACCTTCTTACACCAACGAAGGAACAGGAAGCAATGCATCAACTTCATGGTGCTGAATGTTTGCAGGTTTAGCCTCTTTCATTTTTAGCTTCCATTTAAATTCTGGACATTCTCAACAGACTTATTTCACTGACTCTTCTCCAGTTCTCACTGAGTTCTGGCCCACCTCAGAATATCTGATTCTGCTCTGATGGTCCAAGACCATTTCTGGATGTGTAGATTGCTATTTTAAATTATACTGGCCTTCAGGTTTCTTTGATATTGCAGTAAATTTCAGGTAAACATCTGGATTAAGTTTCTAAGAACACTAGCCTGCTAATCATACCTAAATAAGCAACAGCACATGATAAGGCATGTTATATATCATAAGTGTTAAGCATGTTGTAAACCACACAGCTAATGCATAGGTGCTGAAAACCTTCTGAAATGTTGTTGTTAGTGTAACAAATGTAGAATCATAGAATCGTTTAGGCTGGAAAAGACCTTTAAGGTCACTAAGTCCAACCATAAACCTAACACTGTCAAGTCCACCACTGAACCATGTCCCTAAGTGCCACATCTACATGTCTTTTAAATATCTCCAGGGATGGCGAGTTAACCACTTCCCTGGGCAGCCTGTTACAATGCTTGACAACTCTTTCAGTGAAAAATTTTTTCCTAATGTCCAGCCTAAACCTCCCCTGGCACAACTTGAGGCCATTTCCTCTTGTCCCATGACTTGTTACTTGGGAGAAGAGACTGACACCCACCTCACTACAACCTCGTTTCAGGTAGTTGTAGAGAGTTGTAAGGTCTCCCCTCAGCCTCCTTTTCTACAGACTAAATAACCTCAGTTCCCTCAGCCATTCCTCATAGGATTTATTCTCTAGACCCTTCACCAGCTTTGTTGCTCTTCTTTGGACACATGTTCTGAAGTGTGTCATTCCTCTGTAGCTCCCTCCACTTCTCACTTACAAGAATGAAGTTACTACTCGTAGTCAGTGAAGGCACTATGTACTGGATCTAGTTGCTAGATTTAAAAAAAAATAGAAGTTAAGGAGAGACTATATGTTTATTTAGTCGAAATGTATGTCTGTGTCCACACCTGAGCAACACTGTCCCAATGCTCTTACGGCTGTGCAAGCGTAGTTTAGGGAGTAATTATACTTTTAGTGAAACGATAGCTTTCTCCTCAGATAGTCATCTAAGAAAATGACAGCTTAGTTAATTCTCTTGTAAAGAACAAATCTGGCTGGTCTGGAATCAATGTTGTTTTCTCTGCTTTTTTTAGCTTGTAAAATTTCAGGTGACATGGTCTCTTCCGCAGCTGAAGTGCATACTCTTGAACGTGAGTGGATAAATAATTTGGGATAGAACTAGTGCACTGGATATATTGGTTTACAGCAGCAGTGGAGGTGCATTTGTATTTTCATGCTGTTCAGAACAGTCTGAGAGGTATATAACCTGTGCAGCTCTATTTCCCTGCAAGAGACCAATGGGCCCTTCTCAGTCCCCACGCACAGGACTGGGTCTTGAAAGGTTGGCACGTTTCTGACAGGCCTCTGCATGTTCAGTGCTTGTGATAGATCCTGGTTGGGCTCCAATATCCACACTGTTTGTAGCCTTTATGCTTTTTATTTTTAGTGCATTTGCTGTCAGGAAAAATGGCGCTATTTGAAGGTACTTTGAGAAATGTGACTTGGCTGGATAAACTGAGTTTCTCTGCTTCAGTGTGGTTTGTTGCCTCCTTTTCTTCAATAAGTCCCTGTTCAATCTTCCTTCTTTCTGTGAAGGCACCCAACCAATTAAATTGGAATGCTTTTGGCAAGAGAAATATCATTTCTGCTTAATGCTATTACTTATACTAGTGGTTTATGAATCTGGCACTAAGTTACCACTTCTCATTTTTATGGACATATATTGCTTTTATGGTAAAATCTAGGCTAACAACTTATTTCTGTGAAAAAAGAATGTATGATTTGGGGATTTGGGAATTTCAAGATATTGAATATACTATACAATGAATTATGCAAACATAAGCACTGTAGACTCAAATTGGTTTTGAATCATTTCCATAGCTTTGGAGCTCTTTGGTCACAGGGACTTTTTCTTAAGTTTGGGAGGGGGACGGATTTTGTGGGGGTTGAGGCAAATGCTTTCAGAAAGGCAGGTGAAATATGTGTATCAATGTTCCAGTTCTGCTTTACTGAGGGGCGGTGTGCAAACCAGCATTCAGCATTTGGCCTAATGCCACATCATCCAGTCAGGTAGCAAACTGGAAAAAACAGGGTGCTCGAGACAAGCAGTGCTCAAAGTGCTGCGCTGATGCTGCTGTTGCACTGTTTCCTCCCTATTGGCATCCTGCCTGTCTGCCACATGGGTCGCCTTTGGTTATGCCTCACTGCTGTTTTGTTTGGTTGGTTTTTTTCCCTGCTCTGCTATCCTAGCCTGTAAAGTAGAAAGCAACACAGAATTTAGTGTCTTGTAGGAATACTAGTTCTGATCGCTTTGTCTTATTGCAATCCTTAGAAGAAAATAGGTAGGCAGCAAGTGACCTGGGAATATCATCCAGTTCACACCTCTGCTCAGAACGGGGTCATCTCCAAAGTTAGATCAGGTTGCTATATTCAGATGAGTTTTGGACATATCCAGCAATGGAGATTCTGTAACCTCTCTGAGCAACTTGTTCCAGTAATCTTTCTCGCTGTGAAAAATCTCTTACACATAAGTCTCAAAGTTTTCGATGTTACAACTTGTCTCCAAGAGAAGAATCTGTCCCCGTCTTCTCTATATTTGCTGACAAGGTGGCTAAAACCCAATAAAATTCCCTGTTAGCCTTCTCTTCTTAAAACCAACTGATTGGACTCCTTCAAATTCCTCATAAGTCATGTGCCGCAGACCCCTAGTCATCTTGACGGCTCTCTGCTGGACTTGCTTCACGATATCCATGAGAGAGTCAGACTGGATACAGCACTTCAGATGTGGTCTCACAAGAGCCACATAGAGGGGATTAATCACTGCCCTTTGTCTGCTGGCCGTGATCCTGTCAATGGAGCATAATATGCAGGTAGCCCTGACAGCCACGTAGTGCTGATTCTACTAAAAAATTCTATTAACTATTATTTTGGCTACAGAGAAGACAACAGCTGGTTTAAAATATATGTATTTTTCCTTATTCTTAAATGCTATGGAAATCGCAATCTGGTTGTAAACTGTTTAGAAATGGAGATCTGGCTGCCTAAGTGATATATAAGAATTGATTTATAAGACCAGTGACATGTTTACAACAAAGCTGCAGGATGGCTAAATGAATTGGCTATTTAACACTTGATCAAAGCATATCATAGTTTCATTATTAGAGTGAAAATCATGTTAATGGAAGTGTCACAGAAGAAATCTGTTTCACAGAATGCACACCAAGATGAGAAAAGCTGGAAAAAAAGGAGACACGGTCTATGACAAGATACTCTGCACTTTTCTTTGTTTTCAAAGAGGTGGTGGGCAGGGGGAGAAGGAAAGGGTATATATTGTCAGAGAAGACAAAACTAAAGAAAAAGACAAGAAATGTAGGACAAAGGACAGCTAAAACCTGGGAAAGAAGAGAAGTGAGCAGGTTGAAGGTTGTTTAAAAGATAAAATACAAACGAAGATTGTTATTTTGGTTGTTAATGGAGGAGAGAGAATATAACAGAAGGGAGAAGAGAGATGGGGCTGTCGGTGATCTAATATGCACGTAAAACATTTCCTGGCATGCATAAAGAGAAAATTGAGCCTTGAAGACACTGAACTAATAGCAGAAATTAGGGAGAAAAAATAAAGAGAAAAGCACATGTCCTTTATCCAATTAAATTTAATTCAGGAATAGGCAAAAACCTGTTGTAAACCGGTTGAAACTGCATTTTTATGCCTTCTCTCTTGCCTTTGTCAAAAGCATGACATGGAGAACTTGACTTAGTGTATGCCATCATTAAAAGCATCAGATGCAAATTCTTTAATGAAAATGTGGAGAAGCTGCTGCAGCAATGGAGTAAAAATACCTGAGCCCTGGTTCTCTGCATCTTTTCTGATTTATGCAGGTTTGTTGGAAGCAACTGCAAATGTCTCATCTCCTTTTGGGCCAAGAATCAGTAGGGGAGGAAAGCTGGGGATTATGACATGACTCTGCCCTCTGGGAAATGTTTTTATCAAGCTTTCAGATAATGCAATTTTTTCTATAAACTGAAATCTTCAAGTCTTTATAGCAGTGCTGGACTTCTAAATTTGAAGCACTACTTATGCTGCATTCATCCATGCAGGGGGTTAGTCCACTTGCCTATCTTTTATATTCTTTTAAAAAGAAACAGAATATTTTGCATGAACTACTTGTATTTAAAAGCATATAAAAGTAATAGAATACAGTAAAATAAGTACCTCTGTAATCAAATACCAAAAGTATATTTAATTTCACAGCTTTCAAATATCTAATAGATGGGTGTTATTCTGCATTTCACAAACACATGAAGTGGCTATTTCAGTTGTTTTTTGACTAGTATTTTTATAACTGTCCAAAGCTAATTTTAACTTATTTTGGGTTGTCTTAGATTTCTGATTTGCCATAAAGTTTCTTAAGGTAGAGAGGAAATGTGACTCTTGTGGAGAAGTGTATCATTGGATCAAAACTTGGCGCCCACCTCAGCTAAGAAAGTTAAGTCTGTTTCTTCCCTAGGGAAATGCTTCTAGAAGGTAACTTTTTTATGTAGTGTACACTCCTAAATTAGGTGGGTTTTTTTAGTTTAGCTTGCCCTGAGGCAAAACGTTTCAAGATACTTTAGGAGAACCTGGTAATCTAATTAATCTTATGAAAATAGTACTAAAATTTGTTCTTTATTTCCTCATCCATAAAAGTATATGGCTCCCTTACGTAGCTCTATCCCTGCACTCTCAATGGCAACTGTCAACTGCATCATTAAGGGGGTCAAAGACTGGCTTGGTGCCATTACAAGGAGTGGAGGGTACTGGCCTCTTGTTCCACCAGAGGCAGAGCAGGTGAGGTAGCCCTCCTTGTGGAAAAACTCTTCCATGATCTGAGGACTTTTTGTGAAGAAGAGGTGAATTTGCTAAACACCAGCAAACATTTGCTTCCTGTGGCAGTGGCTGAGGCCATGATTCAGTAGTTGTCTTCAAAACTTGTCAAGGCAAGACCAAGGAATGGGGGTTTACAGTCATCAGAGTTCCATATGGAAGGGCCTCAACAGCCTTTCGGTTCCTGGGGAGGGGGGAGTCAGTAACTGAACTCCAGCTTAGAACATGGACTTCCTGATCTTCTGCCCAGGGAGGGACAGCGTTGGCAGCTACAGCAGACTATCACTAATGTAAATACCCAGTGTCAACATTACTGTTCAGCTGGTTGATAGTTGGTGTTATTGTGGGGTGCTCCCTTTTGTATAACAGATATTCTGCAGGCACTCTGGATTTTTTTCCTTTGAAAGTGGAAATACGCTACAGCTGCAATAAAAGGTATGCAGAATTGCACACATAAAGCACTGTGTGCTTCCTACCTCACAGATGTATGTTATTTTTATATACCTCTTGTTTTTATTTAATTCATATTAAGTGTTTGTGTTGATGAGTGATTAAAACGGGGACTGGGATACCATCCTTTTGAAGCCATTATTTTATGTAGTATTTTTTTTCTCCTAAAATCCATTCATATTCCAGGGTACTGCAAGGCAAAATATTTTGATGGTCATCTTTGCAAAATATATCCCTGAATGAATGAGGAAGTAGTAATTTTAGTTAGTGCTATATAAAAAAAAAAAAGTGAAGGCAGTGCAATGAGCTTAGTTTTCCATTTCTGTCTGCCATAGATGAAAATAATTCAAACATATAAGCATGGAATGAAGTTGACAGTTTGAAACTGTGACTTCATGAGTCTCGTAGAATAATGTTAAAATTTATTCTGTGCTTCAGTTTGACATTCTTTAGAAAAAAGTTGTTTTTGCTGAAGTACAAGCCAGTTAAGTTAATGCTGTTTTTCACTGGGCATCCATGCTAGACTAAGATGTTCAGGTATTTCATATGTATGCTTATATAATTAAGCATCCACTCATTTTTTTTCTTTTTGTGAAATACTTCTGCAAACCAGCACTCCATATATGAACCATTAAGATCATATCATCTGTTGTTTAAGGTAAGGATAAGGACAGACATTATTATTTTATAATAGATTCTTAATCCTTTATTCTGTGAAGTGTTGATGTTTTCATTAGAGTTAAAATATGTTTCCTGTTTACAGAAAGCCTGAAATCTCAATATGTGGTCGTATCAATTTTAATTATTTGAATCATTAGAACATGTAATTTTTTGCTTAAGGGTACATGAATGTACTATTGAATCTGCTTTTTAAGGTTTTTTCCAGTTTAATGTCTAAATCCAAATTCATAAAGAGTTGGAAAAATGAGATGTCTGAGCTATAGGATTCACAGGGATTTTATATGAAGCCTATTTAATCAGGATAACACTGTTATTAATATTCATAAAGTCAGCTGGAACACAAATGACAGACTATGGAGCCTAAAATTTTTTACTTGTGAATTTATTAAAAGCAGCTTAAAAAATTAATGGAATTTAAGTAAAGTTGACGAAAATGAAAATCTTATGTTAGCAGAAAAAAAATCTTTATTAGAACTTTCTCTAAGACCATCTTGCATTGATATCTTTGACAGATTTCATTGGTACTTAAAGAAGGAAGATGCATGAATGGTCATTTAAAAGGATTTAAACACATTGGCACATTAATTTTTACATGAATAATAAGTAGTTTCCAAAAGCAATTAACTTACAGTGTACAAGATTTGAATAGAAAAATAGGACTGTGACATCAAAGGGCAAAGAAAATGTGCTGTACATTTTAAACTTTTAATAATATGACTTCTTAAAATAATGTATTTCACTTCCACAGTAGGTAGAGTAACAGTGAAGGTATTTGTGTACAGCTTGGGTTTGTTTTGAAATACACCAAGATCTGGAACAAAGAAATGTTTTGCTGCCAAAGTGCTATGGATAAAGAACAATTTCAGCCTTTTACAGTGATCAGGTGCTTTTGAATCAAGCTTGCCTACAGTCAGCTTCTCTGTGTGGAAGATGGTCGTGTACTGACCACAGCGTATGATTTTTCTCCCATGCTGCTGTCTGCACTACTGGAAAGCATTTGTTATTTCTGTAGAGGGCAAAATAGGTGGATCTGAGATTTCTTTCTTTAGTAGGAAGATACTGGTTAATATATAATCATATTTGTAGGTGGTTTTGTAGTTGAATATCTAGTGTGATTTTTTACGTGATTATTGCATATCATATTCAACAGATAAGGAAAAAAAATTTTTGCTTTCTTTGCATGATATTCAAGTAGTAGTCTTAACGCTAGCACAGGTTGATAAATAGGTAGTGAATGAAGAAATTAACTCTAGATTTAAAATTAAGTGTAGATTTTGGGTTACAGTTTCATTTTATATTTTCCGTTTTGTCTCTGTATACCAGTACACTTCATTTTAATCTCCAGCTTGAATTTCTTTTGAGTATTTGATTGATTATTAAAGGATTGTCTTCAAATGAAAGTAAAGAACAGCTTTGAAGTAGTTGTATTTAATTTTTCTGATGATTCCTCCTGGGAAAGCCTTCATGGCCACCTTCTGATTGTTGTTGATGTGGCAAAGTTTAACACTGTCCTGAATAATGATGGTTCCACAAGTTTTGGTTCTAAAAATACCTTATATTTGAAGTACCTACTGTAAAGGTATATCTTGAATGATTGTAATGTGTTGTGTGTAAGTTAGATACCTATTGCAGTGTTTGTGTTCAGAACAACCGATTTACATATGGCTATATTCCAGATAACGTATGGAATATTTTGTTGTTCTGTTTATTAATGTTTTTATTTCTAATAACAGGGAAAGTATACTGCAAACCCTAGGGAGCCCCAAAAGATCTTTCTGTTTGACTTTAATCGATAGGTTGCCTTAATCTGATATCAACAATGTTTTTATTTTTTGTATGCATAAACCAGAAAATTCCTATTAATTTGCAGAATATGTTTCACCTATGAAGACAAAGTCTGTAAAATGAGCCTCTTGGTTTGTCTCCAATTAGTCCTGTGCCATAGTCTATTATTTCCAGGAGAGGGCAGCGTTTTCCTATGTCAGGTACCTGAAGGCACATGCCCTGCTTAGACTGTCAATGTTTCTTGTAATTACTCCCAGTATATTTGTTGCTTGCTTATGAATTAACTTGCATTTATGGAACTAAATCATTCCAATCATTTAATTACACCTGAGGAGCTGAACTATAATTGCTTGCTTCCAACTAGGATCTGATATGGCTTGAGCAGTATTAATTTGGTGTTTACTTTTCTGAGTGCTAAAAGCATTAAAATGATTGTGCAATGGGATTACATTTTACTAATTGCTGGCATTCATTAGCTGGGTAAATGGCGAGGAAGAATGACTGTATATTGTGGAGGGATAAAATTATGGTTTTAAATAGTATATTACTAGGCACATTAAGGCCCTAAGACATGTTTTAAAATACTCCAGAGGTTATTAAATACCGTATTTTCTTCATGTCTTGCTATATGAATATCTTATTACAATACTGCAATTAT